AAATCACGTGATTAATCACAAAATGACTTTAAATTTTCGGACTATTTTTGAGTATAGATGAAATGTACCATATTTATCTTGATTTCTTTTTTATTAGGTGAAGATCGACACTTAATATAATAAAAACCCTTTATGTATTGGCCAACTACTTTCCCTTCAGTATACTTTTTTTCACATCCAAAACATAAATCTAAATTTTTAAATTCATATGCATCATTGTATCTATCACTATTATATAAAAATAAGTAGGAATATTCTTTTAAAGCCACATTAATATAGGAAGTAAAAGTATTATATAAGATGATCGGTAAATTAATCAGATCTGAAGAATTAGTGAATGCAATTGAAATTCTTATTTTAGATTTGGCAGATGCAGTTACATTACTAATGATCATTTCTGAAGTCACGTGAGTGTGTGAATTTTTTTCATACAGTATTGTTTTAATAGTATCGATTTGCATGTCAGTTAACTTTGAGAGTTTATTTGCACTATACGATTTAATTCGCATAATCTTATTTTTTCTAATTTTGCTAAATAATATATATATATAGGCTTAGTTAGCTAGGTTTTTTTACGCAAGTTTACACAAGAGATTCCTGAAAGATGCTGTAGCATTTTATCATAAATCTGCCTACTCACAAATTCATAAGCTTTTTTATTCATAATAAGTCTATTCTTTAGGATTTCAGGTAAAATCTCACTATGTCTTTTTTCAAAATACTTTCTATAGAAATACCAGCTTATGATTTCATTTTGTTTGGCTCGTATAGTCCTAATTTCTGCAAATTTCATTTTTTTATATAGATAGGCTAATTCTTTCATATTAATAACCTTAACACAATCTTCTTCCAAAGGTTCTATAAGCAATTCTTATATCAAAGGCTATATATCTATTTCAGGTGCTTTTATTTTAGCATTTTGTTCTGATAAGATAGGTTATTAGAGATAGGATATGAACTTGTGGATGATTCTGACGAAGAGATGTCAAAAGTACTAAGTAAATCCAAGTCTCAAAGCTTTTTTTCCTTATTTCTTTTCCTGATTTTATTACTAACCTTTTTCTTATATTCTTCATCCAAGAAAGCATTCATCTCTCTATTCTCTAATAAAACTTTCTCAAAAGAAATATTTTCAATAGAACACATATCCTACAAATTAGTAATGTCTTGAGTTTGCTGTTTGATATTAGAGTCAGATATTAAATCATTCTTAACAGAACTAGTTTTAAGAGGCAGGTGATTTCTTCAAGAACACGATTCTAGGTCATTTTGTGAGTTATTATGTAAAGTACTATTTTTTAGATAAGAAATAGGTTCTAAGGCTTCTTGTTTTTTTATAATAGACGCTTCAATCATATCAGAATTATGATCCAAAGGTTTAGTATCCTGTAAAGCTTTTATCTGAGAAACATTATTTCTTTCTTCGGCCTTAGTAGCAGAACATTCAAGACAAACACTATGAATCATGCATCTACCTGTAAAAATAGTAATATTTTTTGTTACAGATTTGTGAAAATAGGTTCATAACATTCTGAGCATAAAAGTAATTTACAAATTTTTTCAGCTAAGATATCCCACATAGACGTATCTACATCCAACTACGATTCTCTAAAAGTATTTAATATAGTATATATAATATGATCCATTACTTATGTTAATGATAAATTTATTAAATTTATGTTATATTTAAGTAATAAAATCCTATTACTCAAATAAAAATCATGTGACTGCGTAAAAAAAATTCACACACTTTTGCTAAGAAAAAAATTTTTATTAATACATATCTATGTAGAATCCTACCTCCTGCTAATTTACAGTTACAAAGTAACGCTATAATTATTTTTTTGTTACCTCTCCCTCTCAGCATAACAATAAATTTTTTTGACATGTTTGAAGCATATTCTACATAGAGATTTTAGCATATTATTTGCACTTGATTTTTAGTGAATGTGTATCCCACCAAGCGAGTGTAAACACAGTTATAAATACTTTCATCTTTTTTAATGTGAAGATAGATAAGACGATCTATTTATTATATTCTTGCACCTTTTACATTATAGAATTCAAATTTTAAAATGACAAAATCCTAATTAAACTGTGTTGGAAAAAGTATATCGTAAATGATTAATCATATATCACAGTATAAATCATTATCTATGAATGTGAAAAAAATAGTACTCAATATTCTAACTGGCTGATGGATTAATCCAAACAGAAAGCTATTTCAGAAGTTAATTCGTGAAGGCTATAAATATGTTGATAGACTCTCAGATTATTTAGAAGAGATTAGAATCATATATGTAGGTGAATTTAAGCTAAATCTCTTAGCTGATTTCTACTATTCAACCTTAATTCTACCTTTATCTGTCTTAGCTAGTAGAGCAAATATTCGTAAAAACTTTCCTATTAGTGTAGAATCTGCGGTTGTAAGAGGAATGAGTTTATTCACCCTTGAAAAAAATAAACAATCCTCATTTCAGAATCTAATCTGAATGAATTATTTCAATGATAACTTGATCACACTAATAGGAATAACTTGGAAGTAAAAGGAGATGAAAACTTAGAGGAACGAAGTGCTCATGAAATTCCTTTATAATCTGAATTTAGTACTTTCAAGATATAAACCAAATGCATTATATAACGCATTCATAAAAACAGATATTTTAGAGTCAAAGCATATATTAGCTCTAACACAGCTACTCAGTTAAAATGTAAATATGATATAAATTTGTATATAGCCACAGAATTCCCATTCTATGACTATATTTTTTCACTTATCATATATACCTGCAAAATTCAATTTTTTATTAATATATGTAAAAAATAAATACAAATATTCAAAATGTAGCCTGTGATACATAATGTTTATGCTAATATATAGTTACAGAGTAATGCTATAATTATTCTTTTTTAAGGTATTTTTAGACCCTAGCCTTTTTATTCTTAGGCTCTTTCTCAACATCCATTCTTTCCCTCAATAATCCAACAATAATATTTATCACCCACTTCATATTTTTACATAACTCCTTTTCATCTTTTGAATCTTCTTCCAAAGCAGTCTTGACAAAATGAATATTAAGTGAATTTCTACTTATGCAAGAAATCCCGTCTGGGGTATAAAAAAGAAAATGCCATTCTGTAGCTGTAGTCATGATTTTAAAAAAATAGTTATATTTATTACTGAAAGTATCATCTGCCTTTTATTTTCTCTTGTTAGTTTAGAAAGTATTTTTATATTGTATAATATTCTGTAAGTGACCAGAGGTATCAAATCAGTTAATAGAACAGGTTCTAAGAAGCTTTGGAATAAATAGGCTTATTAACCTGAGCGAACTCAATAGCAATTTGATATTATTTACCTCTATAATGCAAATTTATTCCTCAAGTGTTTTGATTACATAATCTACATGAACTATATTCTCCTCACTAACAACTTCAAACTGAGGGTTTTAGCGATATTTTTTTCCAGTAAGTTCTCTGACTATATTAATACATATATGGAGAATTACTAAAATATATTCACAACGAATTGCTTTGTTACTTTCAACGATAGATCTTATATTATATAGTCTAAATTATATATTCTTTAGACAATGTACGTGAGGTTCTTTATAAATCAATGAAATACAATATATTAATTATACAGTTTTGAAAGTTCAGCAACTTGAAATAAGCAATAAAAACATACTTAGTGTAAATTGCGGTATATTTGTAATTCACTCATTTTCAACATCATATTTCACTAACACCTCTTTTAAATCTTTCTTAGTCCTATATGAGGAAAATGATCTCAACTTCTTATTCTTACACTCCTTAGCGAAGACAGCAATATTTGATACAGGTTCCAAACTTAATCCAATATTTTGAAGCTTTTCTTCAGTTATATTGAGAAAAGTACAGCTATTAACCTTTTCTTTGTGAATTATTTCTAAGTCATCATCATTGTTAAGCCTAAACACTATGTCGTTAGGATAACAAAGCTTATTTGCTAACAGGAAGTTTAAGTTGTAAACTATGAAAGAAATAAACACGAATTTAT